TAATAGATTAGATTTAACTAATTATAGTTTCAGGAAAGACACATAAGTATTCTTCAGATGCATGTTTCTTTTATCAATGCTGCATGAAAGCCAAAGGCTTTTCTGCAAGGAAATATAGATAAGTGTGTAACCTTTAATAGAGGAGAGTTCAAAGACCCTAAATACACAAAAAAAACAAATTGGAAAGTGCAGATGTTTCACAGTGAGGCAGATCTAATTTTAATTATATCTCCTGACCCTTAGTATCTTCATCTGTAAGAGTAAGTTAATAATACCTGTCTGACTGGACTGAGGATTGAATGAAATAAACTCCAATACTGAAGGCTGGCACAAATTCATCTCGGTTTCTTAACTCTCATAGAGCAATATCATTAGGATATGCAAATCTAGACCACCCTTCTTAAATATCACAATTAAGCTTTGGCTAAGAAAAATACTCCACAGGTGAAAATTCTGCTGAGTCTTTGAAATGTCACTATTTGAATTGCTGGTTGAAAAAGAGCTCCCTAATTTAGACACAAATAGCAGGGTTGGTATTCTGCTGTGAAAAATGTAGAAAACTGACTTCTTTCTTGCCTCCAGATGATATTTCATCACGTTTCCGTAGGTACTGGCCTCACAGTAAATACATCTGAGAGCAGGTCAAAATTTATTCACAAGAAACAAACAAGAGGATTTTTAATCTGTTCAAGCCCTTGAACAAGTTTTGTTTCTGAAATCAGAGATCAGTGTAGACATCTTAAATTATTTATAAGGATTTGAAACTCTAACACTCCTTGTGAGCTAAGTTTTGATTCTATTTAGTTTATATGTAGATAATGTAAACTATATTTTAACTATATTGTTGCCACAATAAAATATTATCAAACTAACAAGGAGAAATCAACTACTAGACTGAGTTTACGTAATAACAAGATTCCAGGTCAGACAAAATCTTTGGAGAAAGAAGCTGGGATTTATAGTAAGAGAAGCTGCATCTATTTCTAGTAGATAAAACATCAAGTCCCCTTAGAAAAAAACAATTTTGGTGGCCTCTCTCAGTATTATAGGCCTCTCAAGTTGGTACCTACTGTTTTTGAATGGAAGGTATATTTGGCTTGACATAGATTGTCCTTTCTCTGACTCTTGGTATTTGAAATGTGAAGTCCAGTGAAGAGGAACTAGAAAAAAAATTTCATAGGAAACCAAGAGTTTCCTGGGTAGAAACCTTTTTCTTTTGAGATGTACCAATATTTGAACATATCTAAGAAACTAGTGTAATCCTAATCTGGGTAAACTGGCAGACAGGACCCCAGAGAGCTTGGAAAACAAATATATCATACAAACAAGAGGACTTAGGACTTTGAACTTGGGAGCTCACTTGATACCAGAGCACCAGAGTCTTTTCTTAGAAGAAGGTCAGTTCTGCAGAGAGCATGTAGTTGATGCTGAAACTCTTCTGACTTGATCAGCTATCTTAGCACTATAAGCATACTATGAGACAAAATGACCATAGTTATATAAAAGAGAGCTGTGCCCCTTGTAAGTGAAAACACAAAGTCCAGGTCCTTTGAGTGTGAAGCACACAGCGGGCATCTATGACTGCTGTGAAGGTTTCTGTGTTCAAGAAGGTGAATCTGAGTTCTTTATGGCAATGCCCACCAGGTGGTCTTCTTAAGTTCACACTTGGCCTCAGGTTCATTCAGAAAGCTTTAGGACAGGAAACATGACTTGTCAGCAGGGCAGCTTCAGATGGTTCTCTTCAGTAAGAGTCCTCACAGAAGTCCATACAGCACCCTCACCCCCAGGTGACAGCTCAGGGGCAAAGAAATGTCATGCACATCTGGTAGATGCAGAAGCCACCCTGGCTTAGGAGCTCCATAACTCACAGAAGCCTCCATAAGGGAAATGCCAATTAAAAGAGTCACTTCACTCAAGAAACCCCAATGTTATAGCATCCCCCTCAGGTAGATCTTAGTTTACTTACAATTCCTTCCAGTCCAGATGCAACTAGACAACCATCAAGCAATGTGCCTAGGAACATCATGGACACACTACATTAACAGGGTTTCCAAGGGAAGAGAGCTAGAAAGTTAACAGAAAGTCAAATTCTCATGCAGAAGGGAAGAGTGTTTTGTTAACAGCAATGTAGTGGCATCTGCCATAGTACACAGAATCCCTAATGGTTACAGGATCCACCAAATTTAAGCAGTGTGACTTCTGGCTCCAGTGGTGAGGCTAGAACATCCAGTACTAATCCTAGCTCAAATAACTGCCAATGATAGGAAGAAAAACACCAAGGATGGTGGAAGATATTCTTGTTATAAGAAAGATGAGGGCATGAGGTCATATCAATTTAAATATTCAAAGAAATGTGAACTTATTATGTACCCCAAACAAAGAATCGATTATATTAAGAAAGAAAATTAAACTGATAATCAGTTATGTACAAACATATCATATCTTTTCTGGAAATAATTTACATCTCTATCACTTCTGATTTTACAATCTCCTTTCTTCAACTATACCTTTCTATTTCCTTAGTGATTAATAGTCTCGCCTACATCAATGGAAATTCCCTAATAATAAAATTAGAACACATTATGAATTAGAATCCATCTACCAAAATTAAGTTGCAATTTCTCAGTGTCTTAGAATGATGACATCTAAGGTCTTATCACCCTAAATACTCTAGGTTTCTACAACAGTCTCATAACTTTTTCCTTTGAAATGTAGCTAATCCTTGGCTCCTTAACCCCCATTTCTGAGACAATATGTTTAGGAAGCATGAACTAATTTTAACCTTAATCTATGAAAAATGCAATCAAGAATAAAATCTTAGAATACTTTCAGAAAAATAACTTTGAATCATCCATCCCTCTGTTAGCATGAAAAAACAAACACAGAAACAAACAAAACTCTATACACTAGTTAAGAAAAATATAATAAAAGTCTAGTACATCCTTTAAATAACTAGAAAACCATTAAGGCATATGAAACTTATCCAAAGAGCTTCTTAAATATTTTCATTAGCACCACTGAATTAATAAATTTGCTTACAATGAAGTGATGCTCACTAAAAATCTATTCTACTATGCTGGCATGTGTAAATAATGAAAACCATAAAATAATTTATGATCTGCAAGGGGACAACTATTAGGAAGTAAAGCAGAAGGAATACTTTAAACATGTAGCACCAATTGAGGTTATAATTTCATGTTTTGTAAACAACTGGCAGCATGCAGCTTCTTGGCAGAATTTCTCACTTCCAATGTAGAACACTATTATTATCATCTGTGTTTGTTAGGTGGAAAGGAGTTCTTCTAATGGAAAGTCTTAGTATAATGAAATTTATCATCAAAATCTTCCATTTACTCTCTGATTCCCCACTTCAGTTTCTTGCCATTAGTTACTCAGCAGTTGTTTTGGAAACAAGATATGGCCTCAAGTCACTTAAGCAATATCATGATTAAAGCTCTCAGAAATGGTTCCCAGTAAAATTCTGCTCTTCAGACAAAATGGCCAACATTTAGCTGGATTAGAAATAGAAACCTCCTGCCATGAAGAGTAGGATTGGCCCTTAGCATGCTGTGGAGCTTGGCACCCAGAATAATTCCTAGGCAATGGAAACTCTACAGATATTATCTGAAATACCAACAAGAACATTTGTGAATAAAAATGACAGAAAACATCTTTTACATGTTCAACAGTAATATTAATAACTCTCAAACAAACCAATACACTAATAGAATT